TGGAGTTACCCGACTTTGCCAAGACATTTGAGGTGCAAAAAGATGCCTTACACTTTGCCATTAGGGGTGTCCTGATGCAGGATAAGCATCCCATAGCGTTTGAAAGCGGCAAGTTATATGAGATGGAGCAACGTTACACGGTGCAAAAGAAAGAGATGACTGCCATTGTGCATTGCCTTCGTACATGGCGACATTATTTGCTTGGGTCGAGGTTTGTGGTCAAGGCCGACAATGTGGCTACTAGATACTTTCAGACACAGAAGAAGCTCACACCAAAACAGGCTAGGTGGCAGAATTTCTTGGTCGAGTTTGACTATGTGTTGGAGTATAAGCCGGGCAAAAGTAACGTTGTAGCCGATGACTTGAGCCAAAAAGCCTAGCTTACTGCCATCACTTCAGCAAGTTTCGACATTCGTGAGGCTATAAAAGAAGGCATGCAGCATGATTCAGGAGTTAAACAACTTATCGATTTAGCCAACCAGGGCAAGACGAAACTTTTTGGGTAAAAGACGGTAGCTTACCACGGGTTGGCGAGTCTACGTGCCTCAGTTTGGAGATATTAGATGGCAGATCATAAGGGAGATTCATGACACAATGTGGGCTTGTCATCCAGGCCAACGTCGCACTAGGGCCTTAGTTGAGTTAGTCTACTATTAGTCACACATGCGAGATGACATAGAGTGTTATTGCAGGCTTGTCTAGTATGCCAGCAGGACAAGGTTGAGCAACAACAGCACAGAGGACTTTTTGAACCACTACCAGTCGTCGAGCGTCCATGGGAGAGCGTGACTATGGAATTTATCACTAGTCTACAGAAGTTCGACGATTATGGTACTATTACGATGGTCGTGGATAGATTTTCTAAATATGCCACCTTCATGCCCGCCTCACCAGGTTGAACTGCAAGGGAAGCCGCCAAGCTATTCTTTAAGAACATGGTGAAGTATTGGCGCTTACCAAGGCATATTATCAGTGATCGAAACCCCCGTTTTACTAGGAACTTTTTGAAAGAGTTATTCGACATACTTGGCATGGAACTGCACTTTTCCACTAGTTTCCACCCAGAGACAGATGGACAAACAGAACGGGTCAATGCCTTACTAGAATGCTACTTGAGGCATTATGTAAGCGCGCATCAGAAAGATTGGGAAAGGCTCCTAGATATCGCCCAATTCTCTAATAACTTGTAGCAGAGTGAGTCTACAGGGCAGACTCCATTTGAGCTAGCCACCGGCCAACAACAACAAACTTCACATTCATTACCAGCCGTGTTCGAGGGAAAGAGTTTGGGGGCTTATCATATGGCCAAAGGATAGGAGGAGCATCTTGACACTGCTAAGTCCTACTTGGATAAAGTAGTTAAGAAGTTGAAAAAGTTTGCGGACCGTAAGTGGCGTACCACAGAATATAGAGGTAGGGACATGGTCATGTGGAAGTTTAACCCAAGACAGTTCAAGGCACTATGAGGCATGCATCAGAAACTGATTCGCAAGTATGAGGGGCCATTTAAGATCATCGCCAAGGTAGGTAAGATCTCATACAAGCTTGACATGCCATCGTATCTTATGATCTACCTTGTCTTCCATGCCAGCATGCTTAAGCCATATCATGAAGATAAGGATAATTCGAGCAGGGGCCAATCAATTCGAGCACCTATTACTATCACTGCCTTGCATGATCGGGAGATTGAGGCTATCATGGATTACTAGGCCAGGCGAAAACAAGGGCAGAAAGCCACCGCTATGTTCCTCGTCCATTAGAAGGGGCAATCATCAAAGGAGGCCAGTGGGCATGATATGAAGACTTATGGCAATTCAAAGATAAGATCCTAGAGTTTATGTAGCAGCATTGTGCCGCGGTCGTCGCAAGATTAGGTGGGGAAGAGTGTGATGACCCGCCACATCATCATGCCACATAGGTAGCATTTAGCATATATTGCTGCCATGTGGAAGCTTACATAGGAGGAAGGCTAGAATTTGTAAGAAGATTCAAGAGAAGTATGGGCATTTCCTTTGGAAGACCCTAGATCCCTATGGATTTGCTAGGAAAGTCCTTGGAATCTTCTAGGCTTGTAGAGAATTTTAGAGAAAGCCCTTATCTTGTAAATATTAAGGACTCGTATAACAATTAATATTTACACATAGGCCCTAGGAGACTAGTATATAAAGGGGGCCATTCATTTGTAATTCACCAAGCAAACAATTCAAGTTCTCTCTAATACAAAGCTTCTTTTAACAATTCTCTTGTGTTCTTTCTACCATTCTCTTAGCGATCTTGAGTGCAGTAAGGCTGACTTGGCATAGAAAGAACGTGAGCAATTTGTGCAAGTTCATGAGCGAGTTGTCAAGTTTCGCACGTGTACTTAGCTGAGGCTAAGGACGTGACACTAAGCTCTCCTTATAAAAATGAACAGAACAACCATCTGTAGTTTTCCAGATGGCTCTCCTCAGGCCTGAATGTCAAAATCTGAGATACCTCATCGTCTGAGTCCTAACATCACAGGAGAATTGACGGGAACGTTTATTTACAAAAATGAGAGTGCTAGAATACCAAGACCTTATATTTGAAGTACATTAAAAGGTAAATTGTTTGTTCCAAACTCCTGGTTGGATCATTACCCATATGTCATAAACAAATCCTTCAATGACGGTCATGAGAGCAATAAAGTAATCAAGCAATACTAGTTATACATTGCAATGACTGAAAGCGCACCCAACATCTAGCCCTCCGATCTCTACAAACACCTCATTGCCAAATTCAAATGAAAGAATGCTAAAATCATAAAAATACAACCCCCGCCCTTTAGCAACCAATAATAAGTTCCATATAAATAATTTGTACCAAAGGCTTCTACATAGAACTCATGTATGAAATTTGCAGGTTCAACGATTCTCCACAAAACCCTAGAATAAGAATAGACTGTTGCATATTATCGAGGGATACTATGATTTCTGACGACATCCCAGAAGGACCGAAACCTAATATCCTTATAGTCATTATTTATGGGGTCTAACCCGAACCAAAACTGACGGTCAATCTGTCTGAAAGATGGTTGAAGCTCGAAGTTGGCTGCAGGAAGGGGCCTCACTTCCCGGGTGGCAGGATTCCACAATGAAAAGGAGATGTTAAAGAATATACTGCCATCAATTTCTCGCTCCAACAAAAATAAGCCATCCACGGAACCTAAAAGGTACGTCATACCTCTAAATCCCTGGAGATAATAGGGTGGATTTTCAAGTACACCAGCATCTGAAACCAAAATAAAAGTGATAGGAGGGGAACCATCTGGGGCGCTATGATCATAAATCAGTGACTAGTTATGTGCCTTTATGTTTTGATGGTTTAACAAATTTCATATGAGAAATAGATAAGGAACCTGTTACACAGCCTCAAAGTGATTAGAACAACAAGTCACATTTCTGGCACAAGTTTGAATATTATTAGCTAAAGAAACGGCTGAGGGAACAGATGGCTATCAATTCCTCCGGTCACAGTACAAGTCAACTCCTTACAACTGTTGAAGTCGGTGCACTATTGCACGACATACACAACAGTGCAGCAGTAACTTTATGGAGCATGCCTTGTACCAAATACTTGCTTACATCATCCCAATGACCTCACTTATATATTACCAACATGAGGTAAGGGAAATACACACTTGCAAACCCTAAATCATTAAGTCTCTCTCAAGTGTGCTACCGCCTTCATTGACTCCAAGGCTTGAAGAACAAGCTAGCGACAGAACAAAGGACCAGATTCCAACATTGAGTTTATCGTGTGTCCTTAGTATTGTTGTATCTTTGTTAATGTTATTTACTTATAATTCCTACTTATCTTAGTTAGAAGGATCTTGTAGGATATCTTCTTTAAAACCATAAAACCGTGTGTTTGTGTTTGGCTAGAGTTAGTCAAAGTGGTAAGCTTTGTAATAGAGTTATTACAAAGAGGATTGCAATAGAGCTATTGCAAGTAGGTGAGGTATTAAGAGTTTAATTCCTAGGTTACAATAGTTTGTAATCTAAAGTTTGATCGGTTAATAAAGTTGAAATACTACGAGTGTAGGTCGTGATTTTTAATCCCTTACACTGAAGAGTTTTCCACGTAAAATATTGTTGTGTCATTTACTTACTGTTGTGTGTATGTTCTGTGGGAACTGATAGAGAACCAGGTTCTCTATACAGTTTGGTGGACTCTTAGTTTACATACATTAGAATCAGAGCAAGTTCTTTCTATAAGGCTAACACCTAGAAAGGATCCATTTGGATGCTATACCAAACTTTGAAGAAGGTTAATCAACCTACAGACCACCAAGAATCAATGGAAAATACTACGGATGGTGGAAGACATGGATGCATGATTTTATCATGGCTGAAGATTCAGAGCTTTGGGGTGTCATCCGCGATGGACCCTTCGTCCCTATGAAGATCATTGGCGAGCCAACAGTGACAGTTCCAAATACAAGGATATAGTACAACGATGCCGACTGCAAAGCTATAGAGAAAACCTTCCGAGCAAAGAAGATCCTCGTTTGTAGTATTGGACCAGACAAGTATAACAGAATTTCAGATTGTCAATCTGCCAAGGAGATCTGGGAGGCTCTCCAAACCGCACATGAAGGAACAACTCAACTCAACTAGTCAAAGATCGACATGTTCACTACTGAGTATGAACTCTTCAGGATGAAGGATGACGAGTCCATTCTGGACATACATACTCGCTTCACTTCTATCATCAATGAGCTCCACTCTCTATGAGAGATTATTCCAAGGAACAAACTGGTCAGGAAAATAGTTAGTATACTGCCTGGTTCTTCCGAGAGTAAAGTAAATGCTATCATAGAGGCAAAAGATCTACAAAAGCTGACCATTGACGAACTCAATGGAAATCTGAAGACCTACAAAATGAAGAAAAAGAAGGACCATTAAAGAAGAGACCCCAAAGAGGAGAATAACTTGGTTCTCAAGGCAGACAACGGTGACTCAAGTGGTGAGCATGCTGACATGGCTTATTTGACAAGGAGGTTTCAGAAAATGGTTCAAAGAAATGGAGATCTTCCAAAAAAGCGCATCTCCAGCAAACCAAAAGGCTATAATTTCTGTCATAAATGCGGGAAGCTAGGACATTTCATCAAATATTGTCCTCTCCACAAGAAAGACCAGTACAAGCACAACACAGGCAAAACAGCCAAGAGGAACCCGGTTCCTGATAGGAAATTCAAGAGAAAAGATGTCGCTGACAATTTTGTGAAACATGCTCTTGCTGCATTAGGAGATTCCTCTAGTGAATCTGAGGGAGATGATGAACAAGGTGAGACCTCCATGATAGCCGTTGAAAGCAAAGCAGCTGAATATGACTCCATCTTTTCCCTGATGGCAAAATCTGACGAGATGAAGATGATGATGACGATGAGGTAAACTTTCTAGACGTTCAAAGAAATTCTAAGTCTAACAAAGAAGCTTGTATCCTTAGTAAATGTTCTGATTGATGCTTATCATAACCTTATCAATGATAAACATATGTTAACTATGGAACTAGGAGAGGTAGAACATGAGAGAGATGATTTCGTAGTCGTAGTTGTAGATTTAAAAGAAACCATTGAGGATTTAAATAAGGAAAAGGATGCTCTAACAGAGAAAACTGAAAAGGTAGAGCATGAGAGAGATGACTTGTTGGTAGTAGTTGTGGATCTAAAGGAAATAGTAGAAGAATTAAAAAGGGAGAACAGTTCAGGAAACACTTTAAAAGGTAAGGAAGCGGTGAGTGAGGCACACCTTAAACTTGAAAATGAGCTCAAAATTGTAAAATTGAGTCTGTGTGCTGAACTTGAAAGAAATAGACAACTTCAAGAAGATCTAGACAGGGTTAAAAGTGACCTAGATAAATCTCTAAAGTGAACCTGGTCCTCTTATACAATCGCTTCCATGTATAAAAGCAACCGGGGGAACATGCAGGGAATTGGGCACCAAAAAGAAAAAGTTCCTTACAACCTACATAACAAGTATGTTACTATCCTTGATAACTGGCGTTGCACTCATTGTGGTAACACTAGGCTTTTTAAAGACTCCTGTAAATCTAGATTTCTGTCCCAATAGAAAACAAAGTTTTTATTGAACAAGTACCCACTTCTAAGGAACCTGGTCCCTCCAATAAAAAATGTGTCATGCCTGCTTGGACAAGAAGAAGTTTAATTCGCCCCTTTCCTCATTGCAAAGGACCCAAACTTGTTCGGTTTCCTAAGTCTAATCTCTAATTTTCTTGTGCAGGGAGGAGCGAAAGGAAGCAGCCAAAGATGGTATATGGATAGCGGCTACTCTAAGAATATGACTGGAAGCACGTATGATTTCGTTTCACTCAAAGCCCTGCAAGTGGGAGTGTGTTCTTTGGCAATGGCAAAAAGGGATACATTCTGGGAGTTGGAAGAGTCGGGAAGACACTCACTCACTTAATTGAGAATGTGTATTATGTGAATGGCCTTAAATATAGCATGTTGAGTGTCTCTCAAATATGCGACAAAAGAAACAAAGTGGAGTTTTTATCAAAGATTTGCACAGTCACCACTCTTGTGACTGGTGAAGTGGTTCTGATGGCAAAAAGATTTAAAAACATATGCGTAGCTGACTTTGAGTACTTAAATAGTGGAGATCTTACATGTTTGAGTGTTGTTGATAATGATGTTTAACTGTGGCACAGAAGATTAGAACATGCAAGCTTCTCCTTGCTGAACAAGCTAGTTATGAAGGACCTGGTCCGTAGGCTGCCAAAGTCAAGGTTCAAGGATCACAAAGTATGTGATGCATGTGTGAAAGGAAAGCAAGTCCCGTCCTCCTTTAAGCCAAAAAAGGAAATACACACCTCAAGGCCTCTGGATCTTCTTCATATGGATCGGTATGGTCCTATGAGGGTGCCCAATAGAGGAGGAAATAAATACATTTTTGTCATTGTGGATGATTACTCCAGATTCATATGGACCTTGTTCCTCATAACCAAGGATGAAACTTTTCCTGTCTTTGCCGCTTTTGTGAAGCAGATTCAAGTGAAAATGAGCCATAATGTTGTAAGCATAAGATATGATCATGGTACAGAGTTTGATAATGGAAAATTTGATGATATCTGTGCTAAAAATGGTATAAGTCATAATTTTTTAGCTCCGAGAAAACCCCAACAAAATTGTGTTGTGGGGAGGAAAAATAGGACTCTTGAAGACATGGCAAGGACAATGCTGATTGACAGTAGTGTACCAAAAATCTTTTGGGCTGAGGCGGTGAACACTGCCTACTATTTGATAAATAGGTATATGATCAGGTCCCTCTTAAACCAGATCCCATATGAATTGCTAAACGGGAGGAAACCCAAGCTGACTTACCTGAGAACGTTTGGTTGCAAATATTTCATTCTCAATAATGGTAAGAAAGCGCTGGGAAAATTGATAGCAAAAGTGATGAAGGGATCTTTTCTTGGACTTTCTTCACAAAGCAAAGAATACAAGGTCTATAACAAAAGGACTCAATGTATTGAAGAAAGCATGCATGCAATCTTTGATGAGTCACACCACACTTAAGTGGGAAAGATTCAAATGATAAGAATGATCAAGACGGAGAGCAGTCAAAGGTTCCTGGAGAAGTAATTGATATGGAATACGGGAAGGCAGACCTGATGAGTCAGGTCAAAGAATCTAATGAAGAAAATGCTGCAGAACCTCCAGCTGATTTAGAGGAACCTGGTCCCTCTATTACAACAACTGAAGTAGAAAACAGAGTTGTTGATGCCGTACAAGGAAATCCTGACTGAGCGGAGAAGCGACACCCACTCTTCCATGGACCTAACAATGGATACCACTCAGAGGAACTTGAGTCTTCTCACAATAAGATTCAGGTGTCCAGCTGGAAGCACAAAAGCTCACATCCTCTCAAGAATGTGATCACTCCTCCTGATTCAGCGATTCAAACCAGATCAAAGTCAAGAAGCATGTTTTCCTTCTCAACTTTTCTTGTCTCAAATTGAGCCCCAAAATATCAATGAATCATTGAAAGATGCTGACTGGATTGTTGCCATGCATGCTGAACTTCATCTATTTGAGAGGAACAGTGTGTGGCACCCGGTCCCTCGACCTTCTGACAAATCTATTATTAGAATCAGATGGGTGTTCAGAAACAACCTTGATGAGTTTGGAATACAACAAGAGCAACGCCAGGTTGGTGGTTCACGGTTATAATAAGGAAGAAGGTATTGGCTATGACGAGACTTTTGCTCCAGTTGCATGAATGGAAGCTATCAGAATTCTCATTGCTTTTGCATCTCATATGGAATTCAAATTGTTTCAAATGGAAGTAAAAAGTGCATTTCGGAATGGATATGTAAAGAAAGAAGTCTTTGTCAAACAATCACCTAGTTTTGAATGTCATGAGAATCTTGAACATGCATTCAAGCTCGACAAGGCACTATATGGATTAAAGCAGGCCCCTCCCTTGTGCATGGTATGAAAGGTTGTCCAGATTCCTTTTGGAAAATGGATTTACAAGAGGAAAAATTGATAACACTCTCTTTTTGAAGAAACGAGGGAGGAACCTACTGATTGTGCAAGTTTATGTAGACGACATCATCTTTGGTGCCACAAATGATTCCTTATGTGACGATTTTCCCAAATATATGGGAAGCGAGTTTGAGATGAGCATGATGGGGGGAACTAACCTTCTTCCTAGGTCTGCAAGTTAAGCAAACCTCTAAGGGAATGATGATAAGTCAGCAGAAATACATTAAAGAGCTTCTGAAGAGGTTTGAGATGGAAAGCTCATAGACCATTGACACTCCCATTGCCGCTACCACTCGTCTGGACTTGGAAGAACCTGGTTCCCCTGTGAATGAAACCATGTATGGGGTAATATTGGCACTCTTGTATCTCATAGCCAACATACCTAACATTGTGTTCAGTGTAGGATTATGTGCTAGATTCCAATCAAGTCCAAAGGAATCTCATCTGAAAGGTGCTAAAAGAATTCTGAGGTATCTCAAAGGAACATAGCACCTGGTCCACTACTATACCTTAGGAGACAATTTCGACTTAATTGGTATGCTGATGCTGGCTATTTGGTGGGTAGAAAGAGCACATCTGGGATGACACTTTCTAGGATCATGTTTGATTTCATGGGGTACAAAGAAACAAAACTCTATGGTTCTTTCTACTTCAGAAGCTAAATATGTGGAAGTTGCTTCCTGTTGTGCTCAACTGCTGTGGATCAAGCAACAACTAGAAGATTTTGGTGTGTTTTCTAATTGCGTGCCATTGCTATTTGACAACACAAGTGCTCAACATGGCAAAGAACCTGATTCAGCATAACAGGACAAAGCACATTGATGTGAGACATCACTTTCTCGGTGAAAATGTTGAAAGGGTCTCATCTTCATGAAGTTTTGCAAAACTTTGGACCAGGTAGCTGACATCTTCACCAAAGCATTAAATAGAGAACATTTTGAAAATGGAGTTAGACTAATAAATTTGAACTGAGCACCAGGTCCCTCAATGATTGACTATGAATGAATGTAAAGGTAAACTGCTAAAAAGTATTTTCTGGTAATTTCAAACTCAATTTTATACTGTTACACGTAAGCACTCATGGAAACTACAGAGCAAACAAACAACTAATGATATTGTATTTTGGTAGAAGGATGAGGCTCATATTTACCAAATTCAGTTAGGGAACGTGGTTCCCTTGACTCAAGTTAGTAGTTTCTTTTACACTTATACGCATTTTAAACGGCTATAAAAGTGCCATATCATTAAAGTGTGTTTGCCTTTTCTCTCATCCTTTTTAATCCCAAGCATCACACCCGTTACAAACTGAACCGTCTACCCATTCTATTTCACCCATTTGTAACCGGTCCCTCATCCCTTCTAAATTATCCCGAAAGACGTCTTTCTCACAATGGTCTACATAAAATATATCGAACTCCCTTTCTCTCTCAAAAACCCTCTCTCTCTCTCATGTCGTCACTCTCAAAAATCACCATGTCTTTCTAGAATCCAAAGTCTCCAACTGTTACCATTGTCACTGCCACTGCGTCTTCATCTCACAAAGCACTGCAGCACGAGCTTGAGTCTCAACTGTCACCTGGTGAAAACCCCAACTCAGACCAACAACCACCCATTGTTTCCTCTCCAACCCATCAAGTTCTGGTTCTCATCGTAGCCGGGAAAATCAAACTCCTAAAAGGTTTGTTGCTACAACCGCTCCCTCTATTTCACCGAAATAAATGGCAGAAGACGAAGTAATGGGCAGAGAAGTGGGAAGAGAGGTTTCAAGTCATCAATTTGGGGAGGTCTTTGTAGCACAAGAAGATGTTGCTGGTAGTGGTGAAGCATTAGAAGTGCCTATCACTCCTCCTGCTCTGACGTTTGATCTTAATGTTGCCTTCTCTT